AGGTCTACATGAGGATCTGATCGGAACTTCGGAATTCTCGTGAACGCGCTCGATAATCTTAATCTTATAATTTCAATTTTCATACACACTTAACATACTAAGAGTACACGTAATCTCGTGCAAGCAGTGGTTGAGCAAGTATGGGTTGAAATACTGACAGAATAAATTTTGTGCCAGAGTGAAATGCATTGTGTCCCAAAAATTATCACAAGAAGGGGGTCCTCAGTAGTAAGCTTGATAATTATAAATTCACCGTGTTAAGTGCTYGCACAAAAACTACATGGCGGGGGTTGCAACCAAACCTTGCAAACACTTTTTGTGAGGCAATCAAATCAACACACACACACAGACACTTCTTCATTCCAAGCATTGGAGGTGGTGAGTTAAATGTCACCTACTAGTAGTACTACCATCCAAGGTCAAATCACATCAACACACCTCATACCAAGGTAGTAGCAGGGCTTCCATGGGGGGAAGTAAACCATACTAGTAGTAGTAGCCCTGACCCTGATGCTCGAACCTGTTGCAATTCTTGGGACACTGGTACTCCTTGCACAATTGGCTCAATGTTGGGATATAGAACCTAGCCTTAATGCTGGTGTTGTAGAGGGAGTTGGGATACTCCAAAGTCACCTACTAGTAGTAAATGATACTACTACTTAATATTTATTTTACTACTACTAGCCAACCACTTGGTACTACTAGATATAGTACTACAAATACAACAGCAACTAGTAGTAGTATCAGTCATTGACTGCCATCCAAGAAGGCTTGATCCCTCTGGACCTCAACTATTGGCCTGGTTCAAAGGTGCTGTCTGCTTTCTTGGGATATCTGGCCAACAAGTCAATTAAAAATTGTAAAATTGATTTTGGAACTTCTTCTTAAACCAAAGAGTTGTAGTGATGGAATAAGAGCTGCTGAGGTCATTGTTCAACATGGATGGGGCACACTCTCAAGCATTTCATCAGGGCACTATGGATTTTCATTAACTTTTTCCTTTCTCCACTCCTCCTGGTCTTAAATTTTACTCTCATCTCTTCTTAAATCTGTGCAGACTCAAGCACAACTCCTATTTCTGAAAAAAGGTACTACCTCTGTCCAGAAATAATAGTAGTACACTTTGCAGTACTCTATTTTTCCAGAAATAATTGCCCAGTATTTACTCAATGAAAATACACTCTATTAACAAGACAAACTAAAGTTTGCATTGACAATGGTACCAGGAACCTCTCTTGATCAAGAATGACTGATACAAGAAAGTTCTCCATACTGGTGAAGAGAATTATAGCATCAAGAATGTCTCACTATTAGCTATCATGTGCAAGTAGCAGCATATCAAAATGACCATTAGAACCCAACTGACAGTATTATAACATTGATATGAAAAAATAGGCCTGTTTGAAGGAGGCTTATTCCTTCATTGCTGCTGATACAGCATTAAAAGGCATAACACATTCAAAAAGTATTAAACAAGATCAACATAATTAAAAAAGCAGTCAGATGGCCCAAATACTATTGAGCTTAATCCAACTAAAGAGGTGCAAAGTGTACTATTATTTCTGGACAGAGGAGGTAGTAAATATTTTCTCACCTTTTTTTTGGTGAGAGTGCATTTGTTGCGAGTGGCAACATTGTTGGGTCATTCCTGTTAATCTAGATGGTCCAAAACTCTAAACTGTCTACTTTAGACTTTTTAGCTTAACAGGAATCATTGAAAACAGGGCCCCAATGTGCACACAATGGACATTTTTTAGGGGCTCTTCTAGTAGTCTTATAGGAATTTCTTGGAATCTCAACAGAAATGACTAAGACTGCTGGAACAGCGCACCTGCACCTTTTTGGGGGTAATAATGAGTCATTCAATGGATTTTTTGGGTAATAATGAGTCATTCAATGGATTTTCATTCTTGGATTCCTGTCTAGATTTAGACTTTCTGAATCCAGTGTTGACAGAAAGTCTAAAAATTTGGACTAGATGGTCAATTTTTGGTCTGTCTGTATGTCAAAAAGTAGACCATTGTTGACTACTGTATTCGCATCGATGTACCGTATGCCGATGTACCGTATGCCGGCCGGCTCAAACCGGCGCAAAGAGACAAAGAAAATTTGATGAAATATTATACAGAAACGGACGATGGACAGTTTCTATGACTACTTTCCCTATTATGACCTCTATTCTCTATGAGACTTCGAGAAGAATCCGACAAAAAATTCCCACTCGTAAAAATTAGATCTCTAAAGAAAATACATCATTTATCACTTCTTCACCGCGTTGTAGAGTTCTTGACTTAAGTGTAACCCTGTAAACCAAAGTTTTAGTACACGTTTTTGTCCGTTCAGTTGAATGATATGACAGTGATGAAGTCTCTTGCAAATGCGGTCATAAATAATTATTGTAGTCGAATCGATATAAGCCTAATTATTCCCCGAAACATTTTGATCGGAATTTTCGTCAAAGATCTAACATCTATCCCCAGGTTTTCCGCCACCGTTATTCAGCATTTCGATCTTTACGTTGACACCGACAAAAATGTTGAATCTGTGTGGCAATTCATATCACGAGCTGTTGTAATGAAATCATTAGATTTTTTGCATCGTTGTGATCTCAAACACGCGATATCACAAAAACGGAAACGAAAAAACGTTAAGTTGACACTTCAACCCCTCTCTGCCGATGTTGAATTCTTTCACAGAACACGATCCAATGTTTTCTTACGATGGGATGAGAAAAGTTGGAGGCCGAGCCCAATTTGCTACTTCGAACTATTTTTGGTCATCATCATCGCCATCACCAACACCACAACAATCGACAGTTTCTCCTAACTCTTTCTTTGGATCGGATAACGAACATGGAAAGTACGGAAATCAGCACGGAGCTCCACTGCGTCGCAAGGCTGTAGACTACAGCAAGAAATGTCCCCAGTATCCGGCCAGAAAGTTTTATGTGGCTCTTGACTGTGAAATGGTTGGCGTGGGCATAAATTCAAGCCGCTCCTCTCTCGCTCGAGTTGTTATTATCGATTGGAAAGGGCAAATATTGTTCGACGAATACATCAAGCAATCTGAACCAGTCACCGATTATCGCACATTCGTTTCAGGCATAACCGAACAGGATTTATCTCAAGCGACGATGTCACTTGAAACATGTCGTAATCGAGTGTCAGCCATCTTGTTCAACCACATACTAGTCGGTCATGGCTTGGAGAATGACCTTAATGTGTTGGGGATTAATCATCCATGGTGGATGATCCGAGATACAGCTTGCTATGAGCCGTTTATGAATAACCGATTCAACGTGTTGATGCCGAGGAAATTAAAAGATCTCGTCCATGAAAACCTGGGAAAAGAAATTCAAGAATTTGGAAAACCTCACAGTCCATACGAAGACGCGAGGTGGGCCATGAACCTATACAAATCGGTGCGATCGGACTGGGAATCGTCCGTCCGCTATTTGGTTCAAAGAAGCGTCATTGAGTCTTCCATTGGAAGACTCCATATTGAGTGTGCTTCACGCTCACAAATGATCTACTGATCAACTAATTATAACGACAATACAACGGGGCTTGATCATGAAATCATGATCAAAATATAACTTCTACTAACAGAAACAACTAAAAGAAATGCAAATGCAACATCCCTTTGAATTACTGTATTTTTTCGCCAAATTCAAGAGGTATTCGTCCGATCTCCGAGTGCAATTTTTGTTACTTAGTCGAAGCATTTTTTGTTTCGTACCGGTACAGGTTCCTCCACTACGGTACAGGAACAGAACCCGCAGGCGCAGCAGGCCCCATTTTCAATCCTGAACTTTAGGAGTGCAAAAGGTGGGGGTTATTTCTTTGATTTCTTTGATACTACCTGGTACGTACTGTACGTACCTACATCTTTCTTACGGTTTTCATACTAAGTATCTCAATTGAATACGAGTAATTACTCGTACCGGTACTACGGTAATACAGTACTGCACTAGCTTGAATGAAGGTTTTCATTTGAAGTTATTTTATTATCTTACTGAACCGACACCTTTCTGTACTTGCTCCTGGCAGACTTTCAACCAACGACGCAACCAATTACTGTATAGAAGTTACTATACTCTTCAGGATCGATGAAAAGATTGCGGATGATTAATCGAGAAAAAAAAAACAATCCACCTTTTCGCCCTGTATCCATACGGTGATAGATAGAAGCACGATGGGGTCGACTTCGATTGAGCATGAGGAATTTTGCTCTGAAGGAACACCAGGCGAAGGTGAAAAAGGAAATTTGGCGGTGCCAAAATCTCCATTCATCACAACATCAGATATCATCAACCGACTAAATAGTCAGCTTTCGGAATTGTCGACGTTCGCCAACGAGACGGATCTGGCCTCTTCACAGCAGCAGCAACCACGCTTTGAATTGCAAAAGCGACTCCCCGACGGATCCGCAATTCCTGCGACACAAGATGAGACGGATGCTGCAAATTTCAAGACCAAACTCGACCAATCTGCAAAATTTGTCTCGCAGCTGGAATCTCCTGCCGACCGGCAGTACTGGGCGGAGCAACAGCGGTTGATAGGAAATGGATTTTTTCAGCAAGGCGATTACAAGGCTGCGATGGATATTTACCTAACGTGCCTAGTAGTGAAAGAGAATACGTCAGGTTTTTTGCGAGACACGTTGCTTCCCGTTCTGAACAATCTTGCTCAATGTACTTTGCAACTTGGAATGTATGCGAAGACAATTTTGTTTTGCGAAATGGCTTTGGAAGAAGTTTCGAAGGCGAAGCAACAGGGTTGGGTAGAAGGAATTGATGCGAAGGAGAAACAGCAAAACGAACAAGAAGTACCTGCTGGTGAAAAATCAACAACTGCGAGACGGGATTTGGAAGACGCCATAGTGCTATGCAAGATATACTTTAAGCGGGGCAAGGCACTGCGGTTGAAGGGACACTATAAAGAAGCACGGGAAGCAATAAATTGTTCTCTCGATTGCCTAGCAGGAAAGGACGGTAAGCCCTCTGCTTCTTCTTTCTCGGCCACCGACGGCGATGCCATAGGTAACGTCGATAGTTCAATTTCTCTGACACCATACCGGAAAGCAATTAAGAAAGAATTTCGATTTCTTGATATTGCTGAAAAAGAAGGCAAGAGAAACCGTGATCGAGAAAAGCGTGCTATGCAAACTGTTTTGTCGCTATCGCCAACAACGTCACTAGAATTAGATCCATCGACGTCGCAAGGGAAGAGCAGAAAAAGATCGGCACCACAACCGCTCTATCAAAAGTCTTCGGAACCTAGGCAATTTTCTCGACTTCGAGCTCGGAAGTCACCTTCCACTTTTAAGCAGCAAGATGACCCAAATGTGCTCGTTGGTGACGACTCCCCAATGGCGTACTATAGCCGGTATTATTGGTCTATGGTCGCTCGTGTTGCAAAGGCGTTGTTGGTTATGTTGGGAGATGGAGATGATGCTAATGGTATGGAAACTTCGAATAGCGCTACCAAGCAAGCTAATACAAGGAAGAAGGGAATGTAAACTATAGGACAGAAAAATGAATTCATTCGATACGTTGAGGAACGAACAACTGGGTGKAATTTTGTAATTTCTACGATGATTTATTCTTTTCAATATAAATGTTCAAACAATAATATGGTCATTACATCATTTCACCCAGATCGTGTCGTTGTATGTGCGATGCAGATTGAATCGATGTTTAGAGATCATAAAACGGTTGTCACAAGCTCCAAGCGTTGCAAACGATCAGTCGGTTGGTCTTCAGGCCAGGTCGACTTTGCTATTGAGAAGAAAGTTTTTATCGGTGTGCTTTGCCAGTCAATATTCTAATGTGCCTTCGATTCCCGACACGTGACCTTCAATGAATTATGAATGGGAATGAAGTTGACAACGTGGATGCTAACAAGAGCATGAAAAGCATGTTGCCCTATGGCGGTTCTCGTACTACTAGCACATGAGCAGATTTTGCGTTCCCTGTTACAGGCCACACAYCCTGCATCACCATTCAGTCGAGGGGTTTGGAGACAGCGGTCTGTGTGCTATGTAGATACTTCTTTGGCACGCAGAGCACGGGGCAATAGCACCTATTGTCAGGAAAGGCAAATGAAAGACGTCGATGAGGAAACGTATCTTTGACCTCCATCTCCTCTATCAATGGCACTTTCTACACATCCAGCCTCTTCATGAGACACTTTGCGAATTGATTGAACATTATTAGAAGTAACGCATCTAGATTAATAATATGCAAGCTCAGCCTTGTTCAAGTTGCATCTGGAGCTGCATTGTTTGTATTGCTTCGTAAAAGTACTATGTACCGTACATTTTTTGGATGATAGAGCACGATTTTATAGCCCGGGATTAAATACATACGGGACTCGTATGAAAGTTCTAGATGGGTACCGCGATTATCTCTACTGATGAACATTGGATGTTGCGATGGATGTTCCAGAAGAAAACGTCATTCACGTTTACTTCCACTCGAGCACCCTACCTGTACGAAATACTCGTACCGAGAGTAGGTGTACTACTACTCGTACGCGTACCCTGGTAAGAGCTGTGTGAGACCGAATGTTTTCTTTCCGTATCGCGTCAGACACGCCGATGGGCCACAGAATGATTTGACGAATGAAGCAAACGAGGAATTTTGGTGCCCTCTGATAGTCACCGCCACCATCATTGCGCCACAATACTTTACTGCAGRTATAAGTATTCGCAAATCGCAGTTGAAAATGACGAAGCCATTCTCCACCAGGGGTGGCGTATTTTTACTGCTATGTAGTGCCATTTCTTTCGTTCCCAACTCTGGAGCATTTTCTCCCACGCAGAATAGCCGTCAATTTACTCGAACCGAAACCCAGACGTCAATGGCAGATGGGAAGCGTGAAATTGAATACAACTCGGAGCGCATTAGAAACTTCAGCATCATCGCTCACATTGATCACGGAAAGTCGACACTTGCGGATCGTATCCTTGAATCTACTGAAACAGTAGCGACAAGAGATATGGAAGATCAGTTATTGGACAACATGGACATCGAACGAGAGCGTGGAATTACCATCAAATTGCAAGCAGCTCGTGTTCTCTACAAGAGCAGAGTGGACGGAGAAATCTACACTCTGAATCTTTGCGAGTAAGTGAAGAAATTGATTCAGGTGTTAACTTTCTCGCTGGAAAAAGACAATTTGCACGTTCTTACCTTCTGTCCTTTCTCGGTGATCACAGCACGCCGGGACACGTAGATTTTTCGTACGAAGTTTCTCGGAGTCTAGCAGCCTGCGAAGGTGCGTTGCTAGTTGTGGATGCTTCTCAAGGAATTGAAGCACAGACACTTGCCAACGTGTACCTAGCGCTTGAAAACGATCTTGAGATCATTCCCGTATTGAACAAGATCGACTTGCCAGCCGCTGATCCCGACAGAGTAGCCGAAGAAATCGAAGATACAATTGGCTTGGACTGCACGGAAATTGTGCACGCCTCCGCGAAAGCAGGAATTGGAATTGATGATATCCTAGAGTCGATTGTTCAACAGGTGCCCCCACCAGTAGCGGACGTCAACAAACCATTTAGAGCTCTCATCTTCGATTCCTACTATGATTCGTATCGTGGTGTCATTGTGTTTTTCAGAGTGGTCGATGGGCAAGTGAAAAAGGGAGACAAAATTCGTTTCATGAACTCGGCAGCAGAACACGAAGTGACCGAGGTTGGAGTCATGACTCCTCAGCAAGTTGTTGTGGATGAATTGCGAGCCGGAGAAGTCGGATATATTTGCGGAAGCATCAAAGATGTATTAGATGCTAGAGTGGGAGACACCATGTGCCTGTCATCAGACTACAAGTCTGGCATGGCATCTGGAGACGAGATCGAGCCTCTGCCTGGTTATGCCGAGTGTACGCCTGTAAGTATGATATTCAATAACTGAAGAAACGCTCGCGGTCTTAGTCTTTCCAGCTTCCGTTCACTTTTCTTACTTTCATCCTCTCTCACTCGGTATGGATAACACAACGATGGTTTGTTTACAGATGGTTTATGCTGGACTCTTTCCCGTGGATGCTAGTGACTACGAAACGTTAAGAGACTCACTCGGAAAATTGCGTCTGAATGACGCCTCTCTGTCATATGAACCCGAAAACAGTGGAGCGATGGGATTTGGATTTCGATGCGGCTTTTTGGGACTTCTCCACATGGAAATCATTCAAGAGCGTCTATCCAGGGAATACAATCTTGATCTTATTATGACTGCTCCAAGTGTGGTGTATAAAATCAATCACAACGGAAAGGAAACGACAATTGATGCACCTAGTAAAATGCCTGATCTGACACGTGACCATGAGACCCTTGAACCATATGTGAGAATGGAAATTCTATCTCCCTCTGAGTACAACGGGAAAATCATGGAGTTGTGTCAAGAACGACGAGGTATTCTAATGGATATCAAGTATCTGACTCAATCTCGTTCTACTATCATTTACGAACTCCCACTTGGAGAAGTCATCACTGACTTCTTCGACCAGCTCAAAAGCAGGACACAAGGATACGCCAGTATGGAATATTCGATCATAGATTATCGAGCAAGCGATTTGGTTCGTTTAGATGTAAAGATCAACTACGAGCTAGCACCGGCCATGGCTTGTATCGTGCACCGGGATAGTGCACAAAGTGTGGGTCGTAAACTGTGTGCAAGCCTTAAAAATCTGATCCCGAGGCAAATGTTCAAAGTGCCAATTCAGGCTTGCATTGGGGTGAAGGTAATTGCTTCGGAGCATATTTCTCCAATGCGAAAAGACGTCCTTGCAAAATGTTATGGTGGCGACATTACGCGCAAGAAGAAGCTTCTGCAAAAACAAGCGAAAGGAAAGGCCAAAATGAAGTCGATCGGAAAGGTCAATGTTCCACAAGAAGCATTCATGGCCGTTTTGAAAATTAACAGCGAGTAAAGAAGTATTTTTGTTGCGACATTTTTTATTTCAAAGAAAGGTTTTAAAAATGATTTCGATTTGTTACAATATCAACCTATTTGATTTGACTTTTTGGTTTCTCGTAAACGTTTCTGCAAACTTTAGTACTTGGCGTTGTTCTATACGTTTTCATCATCGTTATCTTTGAGGGCGCCCAACGAAAGACATTAATAATTGGATAAGAAGTAAGAGCAAGAAGAGGATCACGATGATCAACGACGACCGATTGAAAATGTGGGCCGCTATTATCTCTTCTCTGGTCTTTTTCTTGTTGGGAGATGAACCTGGTGCATGTCCTACGCCACGTGTAGGTTTCAGAGCATCAGGAGCTGAATCTGATGGTGTTGTKGCGCTTTTCATGTTTGACGTTGAGTCACTTTTCGTGTTCACAGTGTCGCGTTGGTACCACCAGTCCTCGATGAATACCTTACACCGGATTACAAATTCATGGGCATTCATTGCCATCAAAGCAATCTGAACTGCTATTTCAGCCTCACGTAAATTCTTGCTAAGCGCCAAGTCATAATGTCTTTTTGCCATTGGAAAATCTTGCTTTAGTCCTAGTCCCCATTGGTGCATGAACCCAAGGTTGAAATTTGCTCGTGCACTTTGGTGCTTCTCCCCAGCGATTTGGTAGTAGTGGGCAGCGGTGTGAAGGTCTTCCTCCATTTCATGAGAAAAATCCTTCTTCGAGAAAGAGTCAGTTCCCTCGTTGGATTTGTTGTCGTTAGGGCAAGAGCCTTCTCCATTCGCTCCACACGTTGTCCCTGACGAGGAAGTCGAAGACTTTAAAGCTCGATTGTATTCACCCTTGCCCACAACGTAATTTTGTGCAATATTGAGTACCTCAGCGATCCTTTCTTTGAGCAATATTGGTAGATATTTTTCTGGGAACAAATAGTATTGGATCCATCCGAAGGGTCCGTTGTGTAGCCTTTCTCCGTGCAGTCGTCCATAATAGTAGAAATCACCGACTCGAAGACAAGCCTCAGCATTTCCTCTTGCTGCAGCCACCTTCCACAGCCGAACCGCCGCCTTTGCACAGTCCGCTGCATCAAGACCCAAGCAAACTCCGCGTTCCATCAGAAAGGCAGCATTCACTTGTCCAGAAATAGACCCTACTTCTGCAGCAGCAAGATAATTGCGGACAGAGACCTCGAAATTTCCTGCAACATATTCCTTGTATGCCGTTCTCAAACGGTTCGACAGACTCGACGACGCATTTTTTACTATCCATTTGAAGTGCTGTTTTGCAAGTTTGCAGTCTTTCTTAACGAAATTAAACTGGATGAGACTGGTCGTGTGGTTGAGGCCTTTTGCATAAATTGAACCCAATCGATGTTTCGACTGCACGTGACCGAGTTTGGCGGCAGCCTCAAGCAACTTTAAGGCTTTTTGCACATCGGATTGTATAGGGCCTTTGTAGAACATATTGTCACCGACTTCGGCCTTGTATAAGACAAACTTTTCGCTCGACTCTTTTGTTTGTCCCTCAATAGGCAAAGCTGTTTTCGCACTCAGTTGGTCGGATGTAAACCCATCTTCTTTCAATTCATTCGCTGTTTTAAAATGCGTCTTCCACCCAAGCCACATCATTGCTAGATTGTAGTAGGCATCAACGCTCCCCGTTTCTTTGGCGAGGGTAAAATATTTTTCGGCCAGTGGTAAATCTACCTGAAGAACGTTTTGAATTCCCAACAGATTCAACAACCCCATCCCGTTTAGAGCATTTTCGTCGCACGTTGTGATGTCTGGATCGGTTATTCCTCTATTCTTTGCATCTTTTGATCTCTTGTTCATTTGCAAGCATCCGTCGTATCCAAATGGCGCACCGATCTTACAGAATTTCATCGCCCTGTATGCGTTTTGTTCCACACCGATTCCCCACAAATGGAAGATGCAAGCGTGTCCTGCGGATTCCCAATGCCCATGCTTGGCAGCGATTTCATAGTATTGAACACTCTTTGTCAGATTTTGCTCCACGCCTCTCATCCCGTGGTGGTAAAAATGGGCTAGAGTGAATGCAGCTAGTATATCGATTCCTTCTTCCTCCTGGACGTCGGCTGCCGATTTCTTTTTTACCTTACTTTTCTCATCTTTTTTCTCATCTTCAGAGCTAGACTTCTTGTTAATAGACCACGGGACTGTAGTAGCCTTGAGATGATAAAATTGCAAGGCCTCTTCGGATTCATCTGGTTTGTTGTTCCAATCCAATTGCGAGGATGTTCCTCCATGCATGTGGACTTGTGCAAGCGTGTGTTTGTCCATCGGGGGAATCACCTTCGCACGTGAATGCAGTGACACTTCCAGCTGGTCGATAATGCCATCGGCAGCTGCCTGATAATACGGAAGCGATTCTTCGCATGTATCACCGTTGCTGGTACTTGGATCGGTCATCGAAACAGTCTCGTCGAGCCGATAGGCCAAGGCCATCGCCGATTCGATGTTTCCTCCCACGGCTGCCATGTGCCACAAGAGATAGGCCTTGTCGATTTGTCGAATATGTTCCCCCGAGGTCGGAAGCCATTCATCGAAAACATGTAAATCTTTCACTAGCGAAGCAAAGGGAGACTCTTGGCGGGAAGAATCATATTTTTCTCCTCCACCCGTTGCCGGAACGGGCCAAATTCCACTCGAGTGTGCATTTGCTAGGTAGTGCTGTGCCATTGGGTGTCCTGCTTCGGCTGCTCTTTCCAGGGCCAACCGGGGGTAAAAGTGATAGGCATCGTTGCCGCTGGTTTTGTTTTGGCTTCCAAAATGCGTCCCGCGATACTCAGAGGATTTTCGAACCATCCAGTCGGTGGAGTAGGTAAGGTAATCGGATGGATCCGGAGGATACACAGCAGCGTCTTTCCAGTTTCTTAGAAAGGCTTGAACCTGCCGCCAATAAGCCTCTCCAATTGTCTTGTAGTTTCCACCTTCCGGTGCTGGAAAGATGTTCCACAATCGAATGTCGAAGGCACCCGTCGGTAGAGATTGTTTGACGGTGTATTTGCTCGTTTTGAGTCTCTTTTCGAAATCTGTCGGAGAAGGTCCCGCTGCCTCAGCAGATCTACTGGTGGGACTGTGCGTATTTTTGACGTTGCTCTTGAGAATTTTTTGTTGACCAAGCAAGCCTCGCTGTTTCTTCTCTTCGATGACCAGCAATTGAAAGGTCAATACGATGCTGCCGATCACAAGAGCACAAAAGCCGAGGAGTGCCAGTACGGCCAGTTTGGTGGTCGGGAGCCTCGCCATGATGAACTATCTAATATCTAATACGGTTGTACCGTGATACGGAAAGACGATGAGTTCATGCGGTTGTTGAGTGTTGATCAAAAGGTTGGTRATCTTCTTGTACCGTACGAGGGTGACGGTTTCGCTTTGTGTCCTTTTCGTGTGTACTACGAACCGTATTTTGAGAACGTCGAATACAACAAAGAGTATCGTTGCGTCGTATCGGTAGAAGTACTACGATCCTCGTACTTGAAACGATACTACTTGTACTCTCGTTCGCACCATTCGTACCTCTCTACAAAATCAATATCAGAGACATTTTTATGTCCGGGAACAGAAATGATTCATTCTCGACCTTATTCACTGATTACCAGTACGTACTCTTACTCGTAGACTTTAACCTTTAACCCACTCTTTGAGTCACGAATTTGCAGTCTCAAAAACTTGTCAGGTTCTGAAAAAAAGCGAACATAGATGAGTCGAACGAGTACAAGTACTCGTACTACTAGTACCGTACTACAACCACCAGTCTTACTGCTGGTATCACATGCCTTGGAGTTGACAGCTTCGAACTCACAAGTGAACTGAGCTTCGGTCGATGACACTGTTACCACTTCTGAAAAGCTCCCTTGACGAACCAACACGGCACGAGAAGGCCACCACAACCTGATCAAAGAGAGAAAAAGAAAGGGAAACGGAACGAGGTAAAATGACGGAATTACCAGAAACAAACGAATCGTCGAATACGGTTGGCATCGCAAACAAAGCTCAATCCAGAACAGAAGAAGGACCGGCGCCCGACGGAATGGGCGTTCAAAGGAAGATCATACCGTCGTCGTCCGAATCGATAGACCCGCCTTCCCTAACCGGGAAACGCGATCACGTTGGCGAAAAAGTCGCCGGGGATTCGGGTGCCGGTGGGGACGGGATAGCTGCCATGCTGCATGCGTTTGCTGCCGCCGATGCGGCGCGCACCACGGCAGGGGCCGACACGAGTTCCACGAGAAACACCCACAACAAACGGGGGAAACGCGAGTGGCTCTCGTACCGAGGAACCCGTCACAGCAGGGTGGGGGAGGATTACCAGGTCACCTCGCTGCCCTCTGTCGCAAAACCAGACCATRCCAGAACAACCGAATCCAACGGGAAGGGGAAATAACACACAACAGCACGAAACGAAGCATCGTGGCGGAGGAACACTTTTAAAAAACACCCATTCGTAAGCAACAAATGCACAGCGTAATGGGGCTGAGCAAAAAAATTGGAATTTCACGTTCAAGGCATCGGAAAAACCAGTACTTACTGGCAGTCGCTCCATGAATTGCAGAGAAGATACTTCGACACGCCTGCATACACACTCCTTGCGTTCCAACCCAAATTAAACATGGTGTCATCAACACTGTGCCCCAACTACATATTTGGTAGTCTAGACATTGAAAAGCCAACAATCAATCGTCATACAATCACAGAGAAATCCTTGCGTCATCATAATGAAATGAGTTCTTTCTATTTTAATTTTTTATGATCATCCTGCTCCATGATATCTATCATTACGAAGTATATTCAATCTAATCTTCGGTTTTCGTGCTTCTCTTAATTGATTCTTCGCTAGGCATCGATCGCAATAGTTAGAACAGCGCTTTTCAATGCACGTCGCTCGTTTTCTTCGACGCGTCATGGAATTTCTGGCTCTCGCTGACCACCACAAGCGTACCACCCGCGACCGCCGCATTCCCGATCCAACCCAAGAGCCCCGGCAACACCCCAACGCCCGCAAAGTAGCTCAAAAACTCGGCGATGGTCGGTTCGAGGAGCTGGACCGAACAAATCACGATGGCATCAAAGTGGGGCATTGCCCGGACGTAGCCCATAGTTCCAACCAGGTTGCAGATCAACACCACCACCAGTTCCAACGGAAGCCGATCGAATCGGTCCCATACCAGAAAGCCCCATACTCCGTGAACGACGTCGCGATCCCAGGTGACTATCTCTTTCAGCACTGCCACCTGGAATAACACGACAATGACGGCACCCAAAGCCATGGTCAGAAACATGAAGACAAACAATGACATCTGAGCCCTCGATGTTTTCGCCAGCGTGACGTATCCGACCCCGCCGATGGCGCTCGCTAAAGCGAGCAGATCTCCCGTGATGGTCGTTCCGAATCCTATGCTCTCGTCCTTGTCGTCGTCCATGGTATCCGCGGCATCCCTAGAACATAGCACGGCCCCGCCAAAGGCTACTATGGCGCCGGTGAATTCCAGCATCGTCACGGGGGCGCCGGTGCACATTCTGCCCGACAGAAGCATCAGCGCTTGACTGTTGCTCAGAATCACGGCATTGCCGATCGATGTATAATCCAAGGACAAGCAAAAGCCAATCGCCATGACCACGAACCAAAAGGTGCTCAGGAAAAATGTGATCCATTGGGGTGGGGTAAGTCTCAGCACGCCGGCCTGGCGGTATATATCAATCAAAGCCCGAGGTGCAAGAAGCAGGGACGTCCCGATCATGCGCCAGAGGACTTTCATGGTTGCGGTAGTGTCGCCCTGAAGCTCGAGCAATGGTCCAATAGTGCTCATCGCGACAATGGCGCTGAAGAGTAGCAGGTAAGCACCCAACGGAACGATCACGGCAGCAGCAACAGCACCCGGAACAAATCGTTCTGCGCAATTGTCATCTCCTGCCTCGGTGTCATAGTTATCTTCGGATGTAAGTAGCAAGCTCCCCTGTAACAAAACGCTGGCTTCCACCACATCGTCGTGGAGAATGCTAAGATTTCGGGTGAGTCCCATTTCGATCATGTAGTTTTCATCGTCGGGGACATAGTAGACCTCATTGAGTGCGGCTTCGGTAATGTCGTGGAATTCCTCTGCCAGGCCTTCAATGAGGGATTTTTGAAGAGGTTCTTCGCAGTTGTTGCTTTTAAGCTTGGTGTGATCACCGTCATTGTGGTCTTTCCTTTCGCTTTCGTTATCGTTCCCGCGGTGTAGCAAAATCACGACGGACGAAGGATCCGGGCGAAAGCCATCACTGCCAACGGCAGAAAAGTCTTCGGATGAATTGTATGTCTTGTCCGTGCCGATCGAGATTTGATCGTTACCATCTTTCTTGATAAGGAGTGGGGAGCTTTCAGTATGGGTAGAATCAATAACGATCATTTTATTGTTGGGAGGCATTGACTAAAGATCGTTAAAGACGGAGTTATGGAGATAACAGTGAGAATATTAGTTGGGATGCGATCAACGAGAAATAAGTCTTCTTTTTTCTTTGAATGAAGATGAGTATGTTTCAGTCGAAGACGGTGCTAACATTATGCGAATAAGCAACAAAGGATTCTCCGGCATTGACGAGAAGAGAGGAAGGTAATTTCTTTAGACGCAATAAGAACTCATTTTTGAAAAATCTATGTTTTTCGTGCAAAACGCTAGTGCGTACAACAGCGTTCCGAAGGCGTGACTTATTTTGCTTCGTTGGGTTCGTTTTCTTCAACGCAGACGTGAATTTTTTTATTGTTCGTGATACTCTTCACTTTCGTGGCTACATTCTTCGACGTGTCAAATCCGGGATGGATAAAAGTAGATTCACCCATCCGATGGTGGAGCGAAGGGATCTAGTGATGAGAAGAAAATCGAGACAAGGAATTCCGTATACCTGTTCTCAATTTTCTTCTTGCTGCCGTCGAAGTAGTGCAGTGGCAGATCTGGAGAGAATGCTATGAGCAATAATGTCCTCTCTTTCTGATTCCACGGTAGCGATGCAGAATCTTCGAGTCTGAGCCATGATTTGACATTCCCGATTCCCAACAAAAGCGAAGAAAAAAGACAAAAAATGACCGATTTGAGCGTGTTTMCTGACACTTCAATAATTGCTAGGAAATGGAGTTCCGGAGAAAACTATGTTCGGGAGCATTTTTCTTCACTAGACTAAATTGACTAAAGGAAGTATTTGCGCACCTTTCATTCAATGACTCATACGACTAAATTTTTCCGACAGGCTCAGAAGCTAAATACTCGTACCGGTATCTGAATCTGGGACGTCTTCACGAGACGAAAAATCATTGGTTGGAAGAGAACGAAGCAGATAAAACTTCGAAGTATCTTGCTACGGTACGTACTCTACTACTGTAGCGAGCATTTGTACTCGTACCTCGGCAGACTGGTAAAATTGACACCTCGACAACCAAAACGAAATACGAACAACGACGAATCAACCGAGGACCCGATTGCTTGAACTGCATAATTTCTATTCTGCTTCCAGCATTCAACATTGCTGAACTGGTTTGCTCTCCTTGGTGTCCTTCTATTTAATTTTGGTATCTACAGAATGGCGTTGACGTGCTCCTCTCCGGGTTGCTCGAATGCGGTTACCGGCAATCTTGCGTGCCCAAATTGCAAGAAACTCGGACTAAACAATTACTTTTGCACACAGGAATGCTTCAAAAAGAACTACGCTGCGCACAAACAAGTCCATGTCATCGCAAAACAGGTGCTTGCAGCTAGTGGGTATGTAATATTCTGAAACGAAACTAAACGAAACGACGATTGCGAACAGCATAGCCGGCCACAATAGAGATCCTTTACATACCTTGCGTAATACATTTGCTGATGCTTGGTTTCCATTTGCATATTCTTGTTTGATATATCCATCCATCCATCCATCCTCAGCGGGCAATCAGCTACTTGTTCAACGGCGCCCCAGGACGGAATTTCTTGTGCACTCGATGCACCTGCAGAAACAAAAATGTCAGAGCCGAGCTGGGCGAAGTACTTTTCCTTCAGCGGATCCCTCCGGCCCGCCCTGCAATCTCCGAAACGGGTCGTCCCCCGGACCATCAGGCGCCCGGACTACGCCGACCACATTGCGGGCGTGTCCGAATCCGAGCAACGCGACAAGAGAAACCACAACAACATTCGGGTATACACCTCGGAGGAACTCGACGGCGAAGACGGGTTGCGCCACGCCTGCAGGATGGGACGGGAGGTTCTGAACGAGGGAGCAAAGGCAATCCGAGTTGGAGTGACGACAGATGAAATTGACCGCGTGGTGCACGAGGCATGTATAGAACGAGATTGCTATCCAAGTCCATTGAACTACTACAAGTGAGTTGCGCGTTTTGTTGGTATGGTTTCGTTTTCGACCTGTTGGTAAGCTAAGGTGCTACGACATAGATTCTTGAAGGGATTCTGACGGGTTGGGGTTGTTTCTTTTTCTTACATCGTGCAACAGCTTTCCAAAAAGTGTCTGCACTTCCGTAAATGAGGTCATCTGTCACGGTATCCCCGACTTCCGAGAAGTACAAGATGGCGACATCGTCAACATCGACGTCACAACATTCAACAGAGGTGGATACCACGGCGACTTGAACGAAACATTCCTTGTCGGCAACGTCGACGACGATGGCAAGCGGCTTGTGAAGACATCGTTTGACTGCCTTGCCGCGGCCCTAGATAAGGTGAAACCCGGGACGCTCTATCGCGACCTCGGAACGGCCATTCACAAGACAGCTAGCAAAAACAAGTGCAGCATCGTCCGAACCTACTGCGGACATGGGATTGGCTCGCTCTTCCACACGATACCGAATGTGCCTCACTATCACAAGAACAAAGCGAAAGGAACGATGAAGGCCGGCCATGTTTTCACGATCGAACCTATGATCAATCTCGGGAATCCCGGGGATTTTACGTGGGGAGACAACTGGACGGCGGTAACGACCGACGGTAAGCGCAGCTCACAGTTCGAGCACACTATACTGGTAACCGACACTGGATACGAGCTTCTTACGGGAAGAGAGAACGAACCCGTGATGACGTGGGATGCCGCGCTAAACTCTCGCTAGAAACAAGAATGTCGTAATAGATATTGATCAAACAGTATATGAACTATTCATGTCGACCCTGCTCGCATGCTCGGTCAAGTTACACCTATCGGTATATTCCTTTCCAATCTCTCGAATTGGTATCAAGGGTAGTACAAGAAGAAGTTTTAGGTTGTAGTTTTTCTTATTCCTGCCAAGGATGTACCGTATGAGGTTTTGACGCGTTGCGCACCCTTCCTTAATTTATTACCCGAGTTGTAGCTCGTAAATTACGTATGGTACGTACCCCACTGGACCGGTAAGAAGTTGTTCCAGGATTACTGTCTTTGATTTCGCCCCCAAAGATCCCCAAATGAATCAAACGCGATTCATTCTTCCGCGCTCTCGTAGTACGTACGCATGATATCGTACTACGTAGCGTTTACGCAGTTAACCTGAAGCGTTGCGACTCGGAACGTGGATGGAATGGTCATCAATAATTTTCAGGCTGACCCGAAACTTTCTCAAATAACTCTGTCGCTCATCTTGAATTTTGCGTTACCGCAAGAAGAGAGTGACGATACGAAGTATCAATAACATCTTTTGCGCCGTAAAGCACCAAACGAAATACTATGTCGTGGCTCTGGGGAACGAAAAAGGACGATTCGATGGAGGAAGATCTCGCGGATGAGGGAATCCAGTCGGAGGAAGAAATCCATACAGATTCTTCCGATGAATCCGAGCCTGAGGACCACAGCGTCGACGGGAAAGTCACGACAGAAGAGACCGTAGACGATTACGATGGAGAGTCATCCGATGAATCGGCTTACGACAATTCTTCTGACGAAGATGACGAGGGCGACTATGACGAGGATGACGACGAGGACGACGACTCGTTGGTGGTAAATCTAATCGAAAGTATGACCAGCGACGACGATACCGTTGACGAAAATCTCGAAGAGGCAGACTTACTTACTTCAGACGACGAAGAAGATGATGAGACTGTGGCGCGTGTGGAAGGTGGCACACAAGAAAATCGAAAGACCGACAAGGTCGACGAGAACGAAACAAGTCATCCACCGGTCGATGACACTGATGATGACGACGACGATGGCGACGACGACGACGACGATAAGAATGGTGATCCCGTGACATCCTTTTGGGAAAAGCAGTCACTACTCGTACTTGCGGCTGAGCACGATAGGGTAGATATTCTCAAGAAGTTGTTAAAAGAAGAGAACGAAGAAAAGGATTCCCTACTCAATACAGGAATCCCACCATTGCATCTCGCCATTACGTTTGGGTCAGTAAACACCGCTCAATCTCTGCTCCGCATGGGGTCGGATCCAAGTGTGCGCCCAAATGTTGACGTTGTTCTAGAAGAACGAAGGAGCCAGCCGAAAGATTCGAAGGTCGACATTGCAAACATTCGTCGATTCGATAACGTCACAGCCTGGGAACTTGCTTTCGGGAACGCTTTGTACGACGAAAAATCGATGTCCAACAAATCATCCGGCTCGTGGTCTATGTTTGGGTCTACCATGTCAGGAGAGTCCGAAGGTATGAATGAGGCCGCGCCCACCGCAAAATCGACCAACGGTGCCCAGACCATTGTCAAACCGGTGGATATGGCTCCCTCGAAACGAGAGGGCATACGGCATGCATTCACAGCAGAAGCCTTGCGCAGCGTGGGCGGAGACGAAGCGCATCGATTGAAACAGCTCTTGGACAGTGGGATGCCGTCCGACATTGATATTGGTGGGAAGGACCTGTACGGTTGGGCCGTCGATATGGGGTCTCTTAAATGCGAAGAATTGCTGCGACCGGACGAGTCTCCGGACCAAGACGGTGGCAGCACGAATGCTTCCCCAGGTGGCGACGATGCGCCCAGCGACCTGTCGTCTTCCTTTGTTGTGCATCGACCTGACGTCCAGGAAACAATACCGCAGCTAAAGAATCGACTGGACGAGCTGGAATCTTTGTCGTCTGCCCTTTCGACCTGTTTGGACAACCTGGCGGAGGAAGTGTCAGTCTGTCACGGTCTGCTCCTTATGGGAGGCGGGGCGTCTGCGCTCGCGTCCCATGTCCGGAGCCTGCGAGACCTCAAGGAACAAAAATTGTACGAGATGGAAAATGCTCGACTGGAATGCCAGGATGCCGAACGAGAACTCGCAGACCTGGTACACTCGAGTGGGGATATTGGGAAAGAAATCGACCATATCGCGAATTTCAATTTCTTGAATTACGGTGTGGAAAAGAACGCGGGTGTCCATACATCACACATCAAACTGCAACAAAACGAAAACGATAGCGACGGTGACGGTGACGGAGCCATTGATGATCCATCGATAAACAAAGAAGCAGAGGCGGAGGCAGAAAAATTAAACATCAAGGCGCAAATTGCAGCAATTGAAAACAAGGTGAGTAGCACTGAGTGGAGCCGGCCCTGATTGAGTTTTGATAAGAGATTCGAGGAGTGCAGAATTGAAATCCCGCTTTTCACATATTTGCGTGCCTTTGTGTTCGTGTGTAGATTCGGAAGCTACGCGCCTCCATAACAGATCTATCCGAGGAAAACACAAGAGATCTAGCAGAGGTACAGCGCCGCGGACTGGAAGGTGGAATCAACCTTGTTCGTGGGTTGCGTGAAGAACTACGGGATTTTGATTTCTATCTCTCCGAAGCCAGAAGCATGAAAGCTGTTTGCAAGTCAAAAATTAGTATGATCATTGCTCATGTTTCAAAAAAGAATATTAATAATACCGAAGGTTCATTGGACAAAGTTCCCGTGGCGAGGAGAGGCACCACAAATCATTCCGTTGGATATGACGTTAGGAACGACGCCACCATTGCAAATGATGCAACGATTGGAAGCAAGTCAATGGATTACAGCACGGATGAAGATGACGATGAAATAGAAGAAGCTGTGCTTGTAGAATCTCCTTCCAAAATTGACGCCTTGCAAAAGGAAGAAAGTTCAAAAGAAACTGCCTTTGATTCGCCCAAGATGCAAACGCCAATTCAAGTTTCTGAAGAAAAGAGATCTCAAGAATCAACTGTCAACAATGTCGATAGCAGCACCGTGGACGGAAAGAGTGCATCCCAAAGAATATCTTCTGGAGAGTCCCGGGAAATTACCGTGATACACCCTGGGAACAAAGGTCTTTTCACTGTCGATCTATGGGAAGTTATCCTGAGGATTATAGGTTTCGAAAGTGCAGCAAATCGTCGAAGTTTGGAAAACAAAGCTCATCATGGTAGCTCCACAACCGTCATGATCATTTAACAGCCGGAGCGCCTTCAGAGAACGGTGGAACTGTGCCCTGATGGTTCGATCCACTAACCACCAATTGATTCAAATTCATTTGGCATAAATGTGATTGGTTCCTGCTCTGTGATGGCACTCGTCAAGCATACTGCAATACGACGGTTGCAGCAACGAAGAATCATACGGCTAGAACGATTACATTTTGACCTCTTCGAGAGTCAAAGGAAACGCACATCGTTCTCACGAGAACACATTGATGGGTTAGGAGGAAGAACCTGAAATTGCTCGTTGCCCCTTTGCGTTTCTCATGGCTTGAATCAGGCAGGAGGAGCGGACTGTTCTTGTTTTTGGCATCGGTGCGTCACGTTCTCTGACATCATGTGTCCTATTTTATCATGGGTAATACATAAAATTGAAGTAGTTCATTCTTGAAACAGAATAAAACTATAATTGAAATTATTTTTGTTTCCTTAGTCAGCGACGGTGGTTTTCATCCATTCCCGAGTGGCATCATTAATGTGCATGTCGAATTGTACAACCAATGGTCTCTGATAGAAGGATATTTATTGCGTACTACAATTTGATCATAAATCTTGCTCCAGAATAAAAAGAGATGGAGTTTCCATGATTCTGACCAACTTTTTCCCTCCTTTCTCGTCCTCAACCTCACCAACAAATTTTACTTTCCACACTGGAATTGTGTACATTGAAAGGGGAGTACCGATGATTATGTATGGCAACAAACACATAGGATAAGATTCTAGGAAAAGAGCTTGATCGACTAGATACCAGCATTCAGAACAATTATTGAACATCGATTTTTGTTCAGTCACAAAATATTCATTCGTCACTCACCTCCGCCGCCACTGACTTCTCCTTTTTTTAAGGTTTTGCCAAAAAGATTAAAAGATGTTTCGAGAAAAGTTACCTTGATGGTGGAGTCGTTCTTGATCTCGCGTTTCGCTCGGAGAGAAATCTCAAGTGGTCCGAAACGTACTCGGTTGTAGAAGGTTTCGTCGTCCTCGAACAACTGGGAAACTTTTCCTACTACATTGCCAAAGACTCGGCCGGACGATGCTCCTTCTGCCGCACTGTAAACCAGCTGATGTTCCCCTTTCAATTGAAATCTGCCAGGCTTGTCTAGCGAAAACGGAATCGCCTCCTTCGCAACCTCCTCCATCAACAATTGATCTTCTTCGGATGCGAGATATCCGACCTGGCCAATATTTTCCGCTGTACTGAGAACTTTTGAAAGCTTCTCATTTCGATCCTCCACGCTAACAGAACTCGATGCTAGTTGGGATTGGAACCCTGTCGACGTCTTGCCTTTCTGCCCTCCCACATAGAAAGTGTTCGGCGTTAGTTGCGACCGTTGTTGCCATTTGAATCCCACAAGTAGGCACGATAATAACTTCATTGTGCCGATAAATTGAGATAATCGATGATTTGTTGTTGACTACTGACAGATTCAAAATGCAGTTGATGAYGAGGTTCCGAAACAGTTAGGATACGAAAGGATACTGATACAGGGAGGCGGGGGAGAATTATACGCTCATTAAGAAGTGAAATATTTTTTGAAAACACGTCTGAGGACTAAAATCCGCATTCGGGTGCGAAGGGGTCATACTAGTTGAAGCGCTGATTGAAGAGCGTGGTGCGTCCTCAGTCAGATTCTTGACTATTTAGATCAAATGCCAAACACATAGTAGAAGTATGTAATATACAACATATGATATAAAGGTACTATGGATACATTACATCCTGAGACGGTGAGAAACTTTTAGAACGCCCTGTGTGTCATAAAAAATAGGATGTGTCACGTGGAATAGCTCAAAAAATAAAAGAACATCTGACGTCATACTCCTTCATGCAAACATCATCAAAATATCGTACCGTACCGTACGGTATGATTGATTCTAATGCTAACATCAAACGATCGGCCTATCATAAACTACGGTACTCGTACAGGTACGGAAGTACTCCTACTCGTTCTTCAGTTTTTCAGAAAGCGAGAAAAGACATCATGATCCACTGTTTGTGATGGATGTTATATCATTCGACTTTGATTGCCACAACAGGGTAGAAAAACTACCAATTCCATCGATACAACGCAACCCACGAAGAAACCATGAAATTCACAGAGACTTTTCGTTTGTTTTTTTCGCTTTTAATTGTTGCATGCCTTGCGCCACTGGGTCATGGGTTCTACAATGGATACCGGCATAGCTCAGCTGTCAATGATGCTTCGAGTCTTCGAATGACGGTTTTGACCTACAACGGAAAGAAGAAAAACTTCAAGCCGGGCACGCCCCTATCAAAAGCTCTACCCCAGCTTGGTATTAGGCCAAGATACTCTTGCAAGAAGTAAGTTGCCACGGAAGAAAAAGACTAGACTGCAGACGCCAGCATTGAAAACTGCATTTCCGTTATCGACAACAAATTGAAGCGTCACCAATGACGCTGTTTGAACTTTCTCTCTAATTTTATTTGTCATTGTAATCCCAATGCCTAAATCACATTCTACGGACGCCACTAATAAAATAGAGGAGATTGTGCTACATGTCAGGTTTTCATAGCAGGAAGAGCCACAAGAGCTTGTATTGGGAAAGTTCCACCGGAACCTAGATTGAAATCACTGCAAGAGAAGGGTCTAGACGTTAGTCCTTAAAAATCGACTGAGTTTTATCAGTCATACTGCATATATCGTCTTCTTCTGGAATGATTCAAGAATGACTGAGTTTTTGAGCTTTGCGCTTCTCGGTACAGAGTCCTTCAACGTGAGCCATGAAACCATTGAGGAACACAAAGTTCGCAGCGAATAGATTGCGATCCAAATATTCAAATTTAAAATCTCTCGATTCTCCCTGCTTGCACCTGTCTCATTCAGAATGTAAACTGCCGTCGCACGCGTACGTCGGCTGCCATTGCCGAGAGAGTAGTGCCAGAAAGAGGCATTCGTACATCTGTAATCCACTTTCCATTCATCGAACGATCGGTCCAAGTGACTCTAACGTCAGAAGTGGGATCGACCTTGGTTCGAATTGTTCCACTGTCCAAGGCAAGGTTCCATTGGTAGAGGATTGTGGCATCGTACAATGAGATTTCKGGAGCAATCGTGTTTCTAGTAGTCGTGTTCATCGCGAAAGGAGACAAACGTTTAGAGTCAACAATGGAAAGTTGTAAGATAAATAAGAAGAAATCATTCTACGCACAGTCAAACGAAACGCCGATTCCTAATATCAAGTGTAAAGAAAAGGACGTAATGAATTCGTACCGTTCGTTCAAGGCATGGACAACCGTGAGAGTTGGATTGTCGTACTCCAAGTTCAAGACTGCTTTCGTACGTTGCGATCCGGTAGTTGCCTCCACCAAGCACGATGCCTGTCCTTGCACCAGGTCTACGCTGGGCGTAACCCGAACGGCGCTCACCGATGCGTAGGGCAGGCTTGCTTGGTAACAACCCTTCACCATTTGCAGCCATCGATCACGTTTCGTGGCAATCTTTGCCATCAAATAGGCGGCAGGTCCCCGCGATGCCCGAATCGACACCGCGGTTTGTTGCGATCCAAATTCATACGTTGGCTGCACCTGTAGATCGATCCCGGTTTTTTCCGACGAGAATTTGAGATCCGCTTCGACAACAGAAGGCAATCGTTTCATCGATTCGTATTGGTATCCGACCGTAGTTCGGAGGGAGTGCCAACTCGGAACCCAGTTCGGAAGAGGCTTTCCTTTGCTCTGAAGCGACCACATGATGGTGGGACGCAATTTTCCCAAGTCGAACCATGGGTTTTTCTGCACCGGTTCGTCCGAATCTACATTATTATCGTTCACGGGGCCGCTCGAATAAGTCTCGGTGGGATCCTTCAGGGTGATGACAAGGTTCGGACCGCTCGACACGAATCTTCCTGCAGAAGAGCGAGATACCGAGAGAAAGACGATCAATAGCGGCAACAGAATGCAAGCACTTCGTTCGGTGATAGCTCGTGTTGCTCCAATCATCTCGAATTGCAATTATCAATGACGCGTTGGGCGGCAACCTTGAATAGGGATTCTAGTAGAAGCACTGAATGGCCTTTTTTCTGCAATGGATTGAAATTCGAAACAAACCAACAGTCTGTGTCAACCTTCGTATTTCAATTTTGCTGATGAAACCAATTCTGCACTATGTCCTATGGCATCGACAAAAGATATGGCGCTGTGCTCCTACTGAAGCTGAGTATCCAAGTTGAATGCCAGATGTTCGTACTACGAGGATCCGCCATCGCTTGCATCGTCTTCATAACATCGGATGACACCAAGTTGCAACTTTTTGTACTGGACATGCCGTTAGGTAACTCGTATCGTACCTCCTCGTAGGAGCAGGTAAGTTCTACGGCACGTACGAACTTCGAATACGAACAGGGGTGTCAAAGGCCAAGTCAATGACAAAGTCAAAGATTGCGTCAAGARTCGATAGTTAAAACTCTAACCTTAGTGTATATTTGAATTCTAAGAAATTCGGTAGAAAAAGCTCGCTCCAATTTTCAAATTAAATTCGAGCTTTTGACCAATTCCCAGTACTCTTACTTCATGGGTAACAATACCGCATATCGGTACGACTCGTCCCGTGTCGCAAAGAATAATCGTTTGGGCAATTGCCGATATCTGTGACAGAAGGATTGTAAGTTGTAGGTGTTTATTGCATGGATCCCTGGTAATCCAAGAAATCGGTATCCCCTAAGAACCCAGTGCTGAAACGGGAGACGTTTTAAGGAAAGCGAGCGAGACTCACTTTTTGTTGTCCTTCATCTTCGAGGTCAGTCTGTAGCCAGCAACGGAGCCCGGAGGCAGTCATTTTTCCGCGACGCAAAAAAAGGTGGTAGGCACAGGCAGAGACAATGGAGGATGGGGACGATGCATACAAGGTTCTTGGTGTCAAACAAGATGCAACCCAAAGCGAGATTAAAAAGGCCTATCGTAAACTAGGTAGGTTTCGTTGTTTTAGTGGCCTTGTCGATAATGCAACGCTTGCAACAAGGCTCAACGAGTAGTCGCTGCACCAGTAGACAGCGGGCTGCTTCGACCGAAACGACGCGTTCAAGCATCGCGTACAAGCATAGCGAGAGAAAGATAGAATCTTCTAAGCGATGGCTGGGTCTGGTCTATTGCTTTGTTGCGTGGTGTCGTGTTTTTCTCACGAAATAAATTGGAGTGTTTTGTCGACACCTCCGTGCTAACGTGCTCTGGATTGTTCCTTCCTCTTTGTTATTCTTCGTGATGTTGCTGTTGTTGTTGCTGCTGCTGTTGCTGCTGTGTGGCTGCGGTGGTTTCCAGCGCTGAAGCACCATCCGGACAAACAAACCACGGAAGAAAGTCGTCGGAAAGCGTCGGAGATTTTTGCCAAGATATCGAACGCGTACGAAATACTCAGCGACCCACAGAAGAGGCAAGAATACGACAACCGGGACCGGACCGCCAGCGGTGGGCGCAGCGGCCGCCGGCGGTCGTCGGCGCACGACGACTTTTTCCATTTTGGCGGCGGTGGCGATCCCTTTCGGTTTCACGACCCGTTCGAAATATTCAACAGGGTATTCCGAGAGGAATTTGGTCACCAAACCGCGGGTGGCACGGACGGAGGCGGACCCGGACCGCAGTTCCGGCAGAGTGCCTTTGGTGCCTCTCCGTTTTCGTTCATGGGTGGAGGCATGATGGGAGGGAGCCGGTCGCCGTTCGACGATCCTTTCTTTAGCGGTGGGATGGGAAACCCGATGGGAAGCCGGCGCCAGAGCAATTCGATGTTTGGTTTCGGAGGATTCGGAGGCTTTGGAGACGATCCTTTTGCGATGATGAACGGAATGATGAACGGGGGCGGCATGAATGGGAACACCATGTCTTCGTCGTTCACCATGTCCTCGTCTTCCCTCGGCATGGGTGGTGGCGGCGTGTCGACATCGACGTCGACCACGACCCGGATCGTAAACGGACGACGCCAAAGCGTCACGGAAACGGTCGTTCGAAAACCGGACGGCACCGTAGAGCGAAGGATCGAAACGATGGGCGGGGCCCAAGAACGCCCGCGACTGTCCGCTTCGGCCAGAACCCCGCGGCTTCGTGGAACACACCGGTTGTCCGATCCACGGGTGACGCAGGAACCACCCCCCGTTCGAAAACGGGCAAAGAAATCCTCTTCCGGGTAGCGCCCGGCTGGGCKTTCTGCTGGCTGGCGGTTTGGTGGTTCGGGATGCGTGTCACGGCTATGGTAGCGCTATTGTTGCCGTTTGCCTTCGAACATTTGGAACGCGTTTCAAAACACATGGCACGATGCTCTCCACATTGAATGGTCTTRTTCTTGAGTTTTGAACATTGGAGAATGGTTTGAAAACACAAACGCGCCATCCGAATCCAAACAAAATGGAAATGATAATTTGCTACAACTGTATGCATTCAATTCTGTCTAAACTAATATTCTCTCAATCTCAATACAGTACTTCTACTAAATACCTTAGCTTCTTACTCATAGTAGGTACTTGTAGTATCTACACTGAGTACCATCGTACGAAGTGGTCAAAGTCGGAACCAGAACGGACGATGGACAAGCGTTTTGACAACACCGCGCCAAAAAATTCTTGGGAGACAGATGGGGAAACGTGTCATTGCCCTTCAGCAGATGAAGTTTTGGCAGTCTCCGACATACTTGTTCGTACCCTGCGAGAGGCGCGCCACATCCCTCCGTGTCAAACCCCATTTCTCGAACGAAGCTCCCGTACCTTTCGTACCGCCGGCAACGAGCGGGGTATCCTGCCATAGCGGACGAAGCATAAGAGTACATACCTGGTACGGTACCGTACTGCCCGACAAAACGGCAGGCCTCACTCATTGCGATATACCGTACAACCTTTGGCGTTCCAGTTCGGCAAACAGCACGGCCTTCCGAGGAAGAATACGAAGGAGACCTCCGCAACGACACATACAAACAGACAAAGGGATATAGACACACAGAGACACACACATAGACACACACAGACACGCAACCCCCCCCCGATGAACGCCAGAGGATGCTGCGATCCCTGTTTCTGACCACAACACGCACCGCGGGGAGGAGGCAGCCGCCGCCCCCGTGTTCGTCCTTTCCTCGGTCGCGACTGCACGGCCGGCTTTCCCCTCCCCTGGTGTGTCGCCATGCCTCGGTGGACGGCGCCGCTCCCGACACCGACGGCCACATCCACGGCCACGGCGCGAGGGTCGCACATCCTCTGAACCACAGAGAATACCCAGCAAGCCCGCACCCCGCCGCACGGGGGAACCGGACCCCCCTCCCGTGCCCGCAAAGGCCACGGTTCCGGTGTCTCTCCACCTCGCACGGGTGGCGGCGGCCGTCCTCCCCTTCCGCCTTTGTGAGCCGGCACAACCAGTCGATCAACGTCTCGTCCGGGGACATCCTCGACTACTGCGCCAGGCACCAGGGTTCTTCGCTCGTCGAGGGGGCCAGGACGACGAGCACCCACGTCGTGCTGAGGGAGTGCCCCTTCTGCACCAAGCCGACCAGAAACGACCCCACCAACCTGTACAAGCTGCACATCCAGATCGGGGGCGGGGCCTTTTTCTGCCACCGCTGCGGGACGGGGGGATCGTGGTACGACCTCAAGGCCCGGTTCGGGGGCTTTCACGTCGAGCGGGGCATGGGCGGCGGCACGAGCAACACCAACGGCAGCAACACCAACAGAAATAGCAACAGCAACAGCACCCACCACCACCGTTCCACGGGTGGGGGATTCGGAGGCAACGGGGGCTGGAACGACGGCCACAACCCGAACCAATACAACAACAGCAGCAGGCAGGGCAACCACCACAACCACGGGAACGGCAACGGTGGCGGCACGAACCAGACCGAGCCCTGCCTGCCGATGCCCCCTTCTCGGCTTTCGGGGTTGTACTCGTCGCGCTTGCTTGACGACATGAAAACCGGCTGCAGCGTGGACAGCGACAACGACAGCGACGCCCGCACCTCTGGCGAGGGCGACGAACGAACGGGCCAGAAAGACGGAAACAACGACGCCCTCCGGTACCTCACGGAGGTCCGGGGACTGACCCCAAAGACGCTCCGAAAGTACGGGGTCGGTCGGGCGGCCTACCGGTTCCCTTCCGAGGGAGGGGGATACAAGGAGGCCGAGTGCGTCACCTTTCCCTGGATCATGCGGGAGAGCGACGTGCGGACGCAGGAGGCGCTGCGGGGGGCGTCCTTCGGGGCCGAACCGGAAGCGGGCGGAGCAAGCGGCGGAGCGGACGGGGCCGATCCAAGCGAAGAAACGGGCGGACGCGAAACCCCCACCGGGCCCTTTGTGACACGCCGGATCAAGGCCCGGGCCCTCGAGCGCAAGTCGTGGCAGCGCCTCGACCCCCCCGGCGGCGGCTGGGGCCTCTTCGGCCTGCACACGGTTCCCAACGACTGCAAAGAGATCGTCCTCACGGAGGGCGAGTACGACGCCATGGCCGTCCACCAGGCCACCGGGCTGGCGGCGGTCAGCCTCCCCAACGGGTGCCGGAGCCTCCCGGTGCAGGTCCTCCCCCTGCTGGAGCGCTTCGACAAGATCGTCCTCTGGATGGACGACGACGCGCCCGGCAGGGAGGGAGCCGAGAAGTTTGCCAAGAAGCTCGGGATCGACCGGACCCACATCGTCGCGGGGAGGGGGGACGCGAAGGACGCCAACGACGCACTGCTCAGGGGGGACATCGACCTGGAAGAACGCATCGAACAGGCGGCCCTGGTGCCCCACGACCGGATCGTCACCTTTGGGGACCTGCGAAACGACGTCCTCAAGGAACTCCTTGAACCGGAGCTGTACTCGGGGACGCCAATCACGAGCCTGCCCAAGTTTACGCAGCTCATCAAGGGCTTTCGAAGGGGAGAAATGACCGTCCTGACGGGTCCCACGGGGTGCGGGAAGGTACGGGTGTCGGTGTTTGGTGGTTTGTGCATGTGTTTGTGTGTGTCTGCGTATGTCTATGTCTATGTGTATGTGTATGTGGTTCGTCAGCGGTGCATTTGCCAACAGGTTTCTCGTCTGCTCTTCCACTGTTTGTCTTTGCCGCCCCCCAGACGACGTTTCTGGGTCAGGTTTCTTTGGACCTGGCGGAGCAGGGCGAGAATGTTCTCTGGGGGAGTTTCGAGATCAAGAACACCCGGTTGCTCCACAAACTCCTCAAGCAGTTTTCGAGGGATTCGCTGCCGATCAACACCGACAAAAACGCCAGGGAAAATTTCGAGGCCCTCGCGGATCGATTCGAGACCCTCCCCCTCTATTTCATGAAGTTCCACGGTGGATCGGACGTCGACGAGGTTCTCGATGCCATGGAATACGCGGTCTACGTCAACGACGTGGAACACATTATACTCGTAAGTGGAGAGTCGCATCGTAAGGAAGACGATGGTCTGGTGTGTTGCCTTGCAGCACGATGGTGTTTCGAATGTATGCTCGGCTCACGGTGTCATTTTGCAAACTCTATTATTGAAAATGAAAATGGCATCCTTTCAATAGGATAATATGCAGTTTATGATTACTCGGCATTCACAGAAGTCTTCCTGGGATAAGTTTGAAGTGCAAGATGTTGCGATCGAAAAATTCCGCAAGTTTGCAACAGAACACAATGTAAGTATTGTACAATGCAACGCAGTGCACCTAGATCGCACCGCACCTGAAAAGATCTTGTTACCTGCTCACTGAATCCACCAAAAATATGCTCTTCTCTGACGAAACCGTTTCTCTTGCCCTTGTCGTATACTCTAAGGTACACGTAACTCTTGTGGTGCACCCAAGAAAGGAAGACGAAAGCTCGAAGCTGTCGATTTCAAGCTTTTTCGGTTCCGCAAAGGCAACCCAAGAGGCCGATACAGTAATAATTATCCAGAACGACGCGAATCGACGCAAGTACCTCGATGTAAAGAAGAACCGATTCGACGGAACACTTGGGTACACTCCCATCTATTTCCAAAACAAGAGTGGGCGCTACGTCGAGGACGAGGGGAGCGCCGGGAATCGACCAGCCCAGAAAMAACAGCCGCAGGGAGATATGAGCATGCATTTGGGTCCCCACAATAATTATGGTTCTTCAGACCGCGCGTAAAGTGATTACGTTGCGCTTGGAATACACACCAAAACTTCATATCGTTTTTCTGCAACACCTCACTTTCTAGATCATAAAATGGACGTGGTAATCATATTGTAAAAGTAGATCTATCTAGACATTTCATAGTTGTTACATCTATTACGGGTGAACGGATGACCTCAACCGGTTTTATCCCCTTGATAATATATAATGATTGATATCGCATGTTCCGTGGAAAACAATTCAGTTGTGAAGTCTCGTTGAGGTGTCCCTTCAAAAGAAAATCAACTCTGAAGTCTCACAAAGGTACGAATCGTTTGTGTGTGTTTGTGAGTATGTGTGCATCACGAGTTGTGACGAGAAAAAGTCATCGTGTCTCAGTTTGTTCAATCCTTTGGTTGCAAATTCGTTTTGATGTCGCCGACGACGTGATTGTCGGGTTTGGATAATAGCCTCGCGGAGCGCTCGTTGACGAGCCTTTGCATCCGCAAAAAGGAGTTCAAAAAGTGCAATTCCTGGTTTCGAAGCCGTAGGTATCGAATGGCTCTGATGTGATCAGCGCATCTTCTTCGGAATTCTCTGTCACTCATTCGGTGCAATTCTTGGCGGATCCGAGTTCGCTTCTTTTCACGAGGGCACTCCTTTTTTGCCGACATGATGAGCGAAGGTTTTCTACACCTTGGCAATCGCAGAGAGATAGGATTTCAATTTAATCAGAATTGTTACATACAAAACTCTGTGAGCTGCTTCGATGAACCTATCAATACACGAAAGGACAACAATGCGTGAAGAAAAGTATCGTCGCTGCCCTGATTCGACTCTTCAAAAAGTTGTGCAGATCCAGCACAACGAGTGCAACAAGCTTTTTTCGATGACTCCTATGTTTTCTCGGAGGGCGAAGGCTTTCGGCATTGGGAAACGGTCCTACCCGCGATGGAATAGCTTGGGTTCCTTTAAAAGTGGACGTGATTGCGTTGTACCGAAAACATTTGCGAAGAAAATGGAGGGGGAGTAGTACGTAATTTAAAGAACACACGGTTGTCGCACCGTATTTTTCTATGACACGACAGGTGGGCGAGACGTGGTCGAAGAAATGAGATGAATGAAGCTCATTTTTTCCGACGATTGCGACCAAGAGGATGATCGACACTTAAGTAAAGTTTGATTTCTAAGTGAGTAACTGTGTTCCATCGTGCCAGACGTCAGGTATTATTTCAGGTTCCTACGGACACCACAGCAAGATTACCAGCAACAGAGCATACGCACCACGATTATGGCTAACATGGCGGAACCAGATTGAAAACGGATTCATACGGTACCGAAAGTGCCGGGTTCGTACGTACGGTTGCATTATGAATCATCATCGCCACCATGGATGGTGCTCTGTTTGTCCACGACTCGCGCCGAACAATTTTTTGTTTTAGTGCTACTGCGACTACCGTTGCCGATCAATTGAAACTAACGTTTCACAGGGCCCTCAGTTAGAATTTTCAAAAAAATTAAATAGTTTCCCGTACACCCCGCGAAACAAGGAGAAACAAAGAGAATAATTCTCTTTGTTAGAAAGGGCAATATTCTCATTGTTTCTCGTTGTTGTAACAAAGAGAAACTAAGAGAACATTGCCTCTCCTTGTTTCTCTTTGTTTCACATTGTTTAAATAAGGAGAAACAACGAGAATATTGCCTGGGTTATTTTCTCATTGTTTCTCTTTGTTTAAGCAGAGTAAATGCATTAAACCTGGGCACTATTCTCTGTATTTTTACGTAGTGAAATGATGGGAGCAATTCCCGTTCATACAAGGAGAAACAAAGAGAATATTGCCCAGGCAATATTATCTTTGTTTCTGTATGTTTAAACAAAGACGAGAAACAAAGAGAATATTGCTTCTCCTTGTTTCTCTTTGATTCGTCAATTTTTAACAAAGAGAAACAAAGAGAATATTGCCTGGGCAATTCTCTCTTTGTTTCTCTTTGTTATAACATGGAAAAACCAATGGGAATCCCTGATCTTGGTTGGTGACTGTCTTCCTTAAAAACTAACGGAGGGCCCAGGGCATTCCCAATGTTAATTTAACATTCCAAATGTTAGCAGCGTAGGCTACTATGCAGAAATGAGTACTGTGGTTTTTGCTTCAATTTAACGTCCTGAATGCTCTGCTTAACAGTCTGAAAGTTTGCAGGGGAGGCGTCCTCTTCTTCCTCTTGTTTTTTAGTACTAGTACTAGTAGTAGTAGTAGTAGTAGTACTAGTAGATCCCTCCTTCCTCCTTGTTTTTTAGGCACGTGCAAGACTGAATGAAGAGTGTGAATAATACTAGTAGGATCTATGTAGGCCTACATGAAAATTTAACGTTCCATACATTAAATAAACATTTGGAACTTTAGTACTATTTCTAGTAACATTCAGAATATTAAATTAAGATTGGGAACACTCTGTGAAATGTAGTTTCAATTGATCTTGTTATTCTTTTCCCATGAGGAGGTACTAGTAGGTGTAATATCAGGACTCAATGGACTGCTATGGTGCGGTACAACTACTGTACCATACGTAATACTAGTACTTCCTCCATCCCACTATTAATTTACAGTTTGCACCTCTAAGGTTGTTGTCCCAACAATTAATGTCCACTACACTACTATGATTGTGAAGCTAGGATTGTTTAGAATCAGCACCAAAAGCTTCTGTTTCACTATTATAAGCACTTACTATACTCCAGCAAATGCTATGTACTATTTCCTCAGCTTCAGCAAGTAGTGCTCTTTCTGCAGCTAGTACTATTCGATCTGGATTACAAATAATGGAAACTGAGAGACTACGTCACACAAACGGGATCCATGGTGTTGCGCATTTCGCGC